CAACCCTCTTGCTCCGGGGCGGAGGCTAGGGAGCTCTTCCTGCAGATATGCTGAGACCCGTGACCTAGGCTCGCACCCGAGGGGGTCTCAGCAAACAAACCCTCACGCGCGAGGGGCGTATAAAAAGCCAGGAGAGCACCTGACGGCCCTCTCGCTCCGTGCAGAGGCCAGGGGGCTCTTCCTATAAGTTTGCCGAGACCTAGTGACCCAGGTTCACACACGAGTGGGCTCGGCAAACAACCCCTCCGTCCGAACGAAAAGGATGTGCGAGGGTCGAACAAAAAAGTCAGGGGGACCCCTGACTGCCCTCTCACTCCGTGTGGAGGCTCGGGGGCTCCTCAAAACAAGGACAAGCGACCCAAGCCTGCACCTAAAGACTCAAAAAAACGCGATAAAAGGGCATCAAGCCCGTTACGGTCCAGGGGTTCGAAGGCTAGGCCCCTAAGGGTTTCGGCAAGCCGCCCTAGGGCAACAGAGTCGGGGGGCGACTATGGGCGAGCCCGCGCTTGGCCGAGACCCGAGAAGACGACTGCTCGGGACGCTCTAAGTCGTGTCCGAGACTAGCAGGGAGGTCTCCGAATGGGATCCCACCGTAGGGAGGCACCGAGCCACCGGGGCTTAGCGAACGGCCCCGGCACCCACTAGAGAAACCCTCTGGTACTCTTAGAGTGCGTCTCTGGACCGCTAGCCGACCCCTAACGAACGGGGTTCGGGCCTCCACTCGGACTTACCCGATAACAGATCACCGGAGGTGTCACTGCTCGCGCCCATCGAGGGTAGCATGGCACCCTCCACCCCTCCTTCCGAACAAAATGGATGTGTGAGGGCAATGCAAAAAAGACAGGGAAACTCCTAGTCGTCCTCTTGCTCTGAGCAGAGGCTCGGGGGTTCTTCCTATAACTAAACCGAGGCTCAGCTTCCTGAACTCGCATTCATAGGCTCGGCTACAGCAATAAAAATCCGTCGCACGACATAAGAAAAGCCCCTAGAGGAGTCAAATCACTCCTCCAGGGCCTCGGGGACTACACCCGGCGGGTGCGCTCGCGCGCACCCACCGAGACCTCGAGTACAAAACACAATCCCAAACAGGAGCTGTTGCGAGCCAAGTCTCGGCAAAACCTCAGGAGAGTGCCCTCACTCCTCCCGAGGCTCGGGGGCTACTGTCGGATACCGCAAGAAGGGGTACCCTAAGCAAGAACCAAAAATATTGCTTAAACCTTGCAAAAATCAAAGCCGAAAGACTACCGCAAGGTCTCATCAGATTCTCCGATTCACCCAAGGCCTTGCGCCGAAGCCTCATGCGAAAGGCCAAAAGCTCCCCGCCCTGTCGAGGCCCTCTCGCTGAGGCCCCGCCCCGAAAGGCCTTGGACGGGATGCCAATTCTCCGATTCGCTCGAGGCTGGGCTCGGCAAACAACCTCGTTATCTTCGTCCCGACCGAACTCCTCTGACAAAACATCACATCCGAATTAATGCGCCCAACTACTCTATAAACGTCGGCACCAGACGCGAGTACACAGTCTGGCAGAGCGACCGACAGATGCAGGGACCGGGCGCGGCGGGGTTACCGCCATCGTGCTCATCATCATGCTCCTTCTCGACACCCGTACTGCCTTGTGCTACCTAACCCCTGCGCCAAGGACAAAGCAGCATGGAAGGTCAAGTCCAGGTCCCTGTAGTCTCAGCAATAGTAGAAGAGCCTAGCTGCTCGTTCTCCGCCTCGTCCGAGACTCCCCGGTAGGGCCCTCGACGTCTTTTTTCTTCTCCGCCTTGGCGAGGCCAGCGCTCGTCCCGCATCCTCATCGCCTCCGCCTCAACCATCCCCCTGGCAGGCTGTCCCATCAATTTAATGCGCCTGAATGCACCCGCTACGTCAGCCACGATCGACAGGGTACAGCAACAGGAGCGATGGGACAACGGTCAAATCTCCTTTTTTACCATGCCCTACACTTTTCCACCTAAACCAGGTCACTATAGCCTTGGAATCAGTGCATAGGCCCAACTGCTCCCTCTAGGGCCTTGGCAAATCAGGCCTCGGCGTAGTCAGCTACAAACACCCGCTAGGGCCTCGGCAAATCAGGCCTCGGCGTGGTTAGCTACGACCCGCTAGGCCTCGGCACTCCACCAGGTCAAGAGTCCACCAAAGCACGGCATGTCTCCGGCCGTGGAAGTCATACTGACTAGACATCGACAAGGACCCCCACGACCTTAACCACTTCAAACCTGACCAGCACGGCGCGCCAGACAAGTACCGATCTCCATTCCCAACGCCATGCTACTACAGGACAAAACTGCAGTAGGCCCCACGTGTAGCTTACTCATGTACTCCTAGCACCTTCCTTGCGATTATAAAAGGAAGCGGTCAGGGATAGCTCGGGGGGGGGAGGAGAAGGACATACGATAGAACCACGCTCCCATACTCGCCCTAGACACATCCAGTAACACCCACGCTCCTGGGCTGCTTGAGAGCAGCGTCTCAAGCACCTCGCACCATCCCACGCCGAGACCTAGGACTAGCTCCCTCTCTCACCCAGCTTGTAACCCCCTACTACAAGCACTTCGGTGCAAGGAATACAAGACCGATCTCTCAGACTAGACGTAGGGCACCAATTGCTTGAACCAGTATAAACCTTGTGTCTCTTTGCATCACCATCCAGGATTAGGGGTACGCAGTTCACTTTTACTAGTTGGTTGAGGACCCCCGGTCCGAAACACCGACAAGGTCATAAGAATATCTTGTTGGCGGTTGTTATCGACAACATTCTACCACCAACTTATTTCCAAAAAGGAGAAAACTAACATGTTTTACACGCATATGCCTTTGCTATTGATATAGTTCCACTTGTATTGCAAGACTTCTATTTTGCAGCACTTATACTTGGATACAATAGAATTATAGTCAAAATGCGCCTTGAAACAAAGCGTAAAGCAGATCTTATGCCAAGCAATGAGAAGATGGCCCATCCAACTGACAAATTTGGGCCAAACCCCACCATGGCTGCGCTCTAGGCCCACCAAGAGACCCACCAGCGTAGGTGGTGGCGAGACAGGCCAGGAAGGGGTACGGCCGCACTGCCCCCAGCTCCGCTCGGTCCCACCTCGCTCTGGCGGTTCATTAATGCCATTCAGAGGCGGTTTAGTATGGTTTTCTAATTTATCCCTCGCCAAACTAACCTCAAGCATGTATAAGTAGAGGTGTAGAGGCCCCCATTCAACACACACAACACAAGGGCCTCTCTCCCTCCACTTGTATTCTTTTTACTATTTTTAGTAGTTAGATCTAGGAGAAGCTACATTGGAGAGCTTGAGCAGCTTGAGCCTTTTGGTATGAATAATATCAAGAGTTTCCTTTTGTACTTGCTCTCATATTATCAATATAGCTATGCTTATAAATTAGAGCTAAGTTCTTATGTTATTAATTAGCATATAGAACTTTATACTTAATCCTTCAAACAATATACATGTTTAAACCAAGAGCTAAGTTGAGGTGATGAGTTCTACTTTAAGTTAGTCTTGGTCATTATATTCTTGTGGGTTCGTCGTCCGTCCTCGAGGCGGATGCTCTAGTAAGAGGACTCCTAATAAAGACGGTAGTTCCTGACCACTGCTAGAGTAGTAACCAATAGTGTAGACGTGTTATCTATGTTAGAAGTTACCTTCGTTTGTCTCGTATCCTCCGGTTGAGGGGTAGGCGACAGGTGGTGACAGCCCTGTCCGTTATTCGTAATCATCCACGTTCGGATACGATGTAGAGCTACAAGCTGGAGGTGCTTGGTAGACCAAGCATTAGCCGGTGCCCGAAGTAAGTTTATGATGACCAAAGCTATCTTAACTTAGGATCACCACTCTTAGAAATTCATGTATTTGTATAATTATCTGCTCATCTTAGCATAGCTATGTAAGATAAACCTGCTCCAGTCTAGGTTTATTCTTTTATTCTTTATTCTTTCTTTTATGTTTATCCTTGAGATTGGCTTGAGTATGTGTCACACTATCCAACATTTATCTAGAATTATCCCTATTATGAACTTTAGTCTACTATGCAGTCATGTTATCCCATATCCTTAATAGAGACTTTTACACCATGCCTTCCTTTAGGAAAATATAAATGAACGATACCTAAATACTTCTGGATGAAATGCTACAACGATATATCCGTACGCTTGTGGAATATTTCTGCATGTGTACAGAAATATCGTCACGGCATTTTTGGTGTCATTGCTAGGAAACACCAATCCTAGTGATTGTGTTAAGAAATGCCAACAAGCATTTCTGACGCCGTTGCCAGGGATGGACTTAAAATATCCACACTTGGTGATTACGCTAAGAAATGCCAACATATCCCTATACGAACTGGTAAGGGCTATTTGGTTGAAACCTTAATTTTGTGGTTGCTGGTAAAAGCCTACTTTTGAAAAGTTGGAGAAGCTGACATTATTGATATCTTCTAGATGAACAACAAAATGTGTAATAATTGTAATGTCCATCAACAATATCTTTAGAAGTCAAAAGTCAAACCAGACAAGCTTCAGGCTTTAATAAAAATAAAATAAGCCTCATATTTTCCTAGATTTTACAGAATTTAACGGCGTTGCTCTTTCAAGTGACAGGCGACGTGCTAGGCAATATCGAGGTGCCTATGATAATTACGCCAATCTCAAGATCTGCCAGCTAAGACTTTTAGAGGTGCTTTCTTATAGGGATAGGATTTGTCATGCGTTTACAAAGATGAGTGTCTGCACCACAAAAAAAAAGTAAAATAAAATAAAAACTTTGGCAGCCAGAAGCCACCTTTCACAAGTTGGCAGAATTTGTTTGTTTTAGATTCATGCTTTTGGCCTCTATTAGGAGGCAACAATTAACTGACAAAGGAGCCTAAACTAGACAAAAGAGTTGGAATGTCATGACCAAGTGACAACTTATTATTCTTGGCAAAGAAAAACGACACTTCTGCAACTAACACTTAACACAGGTAAATCATCAGAGTCGGCCACGTTTCCTTCATTCCCTCTTGGCATCCAGTTTCTTCTTTGCCCTTAGCTGAAGTGAAACGTTGAAAAGTTAAACGTTAGATCAAATTAAGAGTGGATGTCGATTACAAGATCAATCTGGTAAGTATGAGCTGCTAGTAATTCAAACCAAATAACTACATATACACAATATTGTTAGTAAAATTAACTTTTCTAGAATAGGAGAACGACTTTACAGTTACTAGCTAGCACGTACAATACACAAAAGCCGATGACCTGAATAATTTGGATATTAAAAACAAAAACATATGGAGAATTAACAACATTTAATTTAAATGACAGGAAAATAATGTTTTTGTTTGGTTTGTTGTCAGCGGATCAATAAATAATTAGTAATGAACAAGAGAGCATGTTGTTATATTATATATATGGTCCGGTAATTCAATATTAATTTAATTATTATGCACGCAGCAGCGGAGCATGTTGGTTATTATCGGTTAATGCCTTAATGGTTACTAGTAATAATCAAGATATAAGAACATGTTAACGATGACATATATTCTTAGTTCCTTATTACGTAGGTTAGCTTGATTATAGGCCGGGAACGAGGAAAATTTAAACGGACGAATTGAAGAAGAGATCGATCGAGTTTGCATTGTCGTCGTCACCTCGCTTGTGTGGCCGCACTTCTTCTTGCGGCAGTTCTCGGCCCTGACGGAGTTGCGAGCATAGCACTTGCGGCAGATCATCTTGTGCTGGCGGTACTTGAGCGCGAGCTGGAGGAGGTTGAGGTCGATGTTGGGGTAGGTCCCACCCTTGCCGCCGCCGCCGCGGAGGCGGAGCACCAGGTGCAGCGTCGATTCCTTCTGGATGTTGTAGTCAGCCAGAGTGCGCTCGTCCTCCAGCTGCTTGCCGGCGAAGACGAGGCGCTGCTGGTCCGGCGGGATGCCTGAAGCAAATTGCATTTTGCTTATAAACCCTGACTAATACATAAAGAAAAAGGCGCGGGCGACCAGACGGCCGGGGACATGCGTCGTACCTTCCTTGTCGTGGATCTTGGCCTTGACATTGGCGACGGTGTCGCTTCTCTCTACCTCCAGCGTCACCGTCTTCCCCGTCAGCGTCTTCACGAAGATCTGCATCTTGTTCTTGCCGATCGATATTGCCGAACGGGTGTGGTGATGATTAGGGTTTTGGCAAAACGGGACGGGATGCATACGGCGGTTGTGGGAAGTGGTGGATGTGGGGTGGTTGTATATATATGGGGCACGGGGCGGGCATGCAGGGAGGGAGTACTTGACGCGCCCGCTACGAAACCTTTCTTTCCCCACAGGAGGAATTCAATTGGTAACTTGTGCAGGTTAGTTTCCGGAACTTCCGGGGAGTTGACAGGGGTTGCATACGCCACGTCGACTGGTCCTGGAAAAAAATCGCATGCCGGTCGGTCTGAGTCTTACCCACGACTACGAGGCCACGTGTTGTCCAGGACAACGAGTCCACGATTGCTTGCTGCTCTCTCTCTCTCTCTGACATGAACGGATCTGATTTTCCCTTTGTATTACAACTGCAACTCTGAAAGTCCTTTCTATTACCACGTCACCTCTGAGTCCATGTTTGGTTCTCGAGTCTTGAGAGAAATTGGTTTTTTAAAAGGATATCATAAATACTGCAGAGTTCAATAAGACTGCCTGTTTGGAACCCGGTATTTGTCATAAAACCATTTGTAAATTACATGTTCCAAATTTTTTCTGGTCCAGAATGGAATTCACTGCAGCGAGCCTACTAAATTTACATCCAGTTTGCCCAAAATAGTTGGGAAAAACATGTTGCCTCCTCAGGTTGGGGAAAAAATTCGACAAGTATCGGGCATGTCTCATGGATGACTTGAATCTCCACTGAAATGATGTCGGCGCCCCCACTCGACCCTGATGGTCCGCCGCTGCCCCATGGCGAGCAGCGCGCCGAGGTGGGGACGGACCACCAGCCTGAACGCATCGTCGCCGACCGCATCCTTGCGCCGCACCTCGGCCATGACATCGCCGCAGAGTCACGCGCGGCGCAGACCCGGCGGTCGTAGGAGCCCTCGACCACGAATGCCTCTTCGGCGTCCGAGGGAGGACACGGCGACGTCGTAGCCGGAGGCGTGGAAGCCGCCGCCTAAGTTGCACGGATACGGATACGTGTATCGGTATCGCAAGGATACGGATACGCGGATACGGCAATTTCTTAAAAAACCCGATACGCGGATACGTTTACTATTTAAAAAATAAAATAAAAATAAGAATAATGTGGACCACAGAAACAGCAGCATCCGCTCAGGTCCAGCCCAGTGACGGCCCACCAAAGTCCACGTAATAGCACTTCACTTCAGTCAGCCCCCAGCGGCACCACGCCACCACTCGTGACTTCAGCCAGCCCCAAATCCCCAATCCGCTCTCAGGTCCTAACCCTAGGCCAGCCTCGGAGCGCGGCGCGAGCAGCTTCAGGCGGCGGCGGTGGCGCGCGGTGCCAGGCGAGTGGAGGTAGCGGCGCGCGGCTTCCGGCGAATCGGCAGTCGAGGCCGACGGCAGCGGCTCGCTGGGCCAGGCGAATCGGCGGCAGTGCGATAAGCAGCTCGGAGCCAAGAGCGGCGCGGCGGTACCTGTGAGGCGAATCGGAGAGCTCGGAGCTCGGAGCCGAGAGCGCCGAACGGGGATGTCGTGGTTGCGGGAAGCGGAGCGTGCGGCATCTGCGACCCTGTCGATTTGTTCCTCACTTCCTCTTCCTTTTTCTGCTCTCCCTGTCGATTCGTTCTTCTCTAGGGCGTCGAGGGCAGAGGAAGGGTTGTTTACTGGGCTGGGACGTATCCACAAGGCTGATACGTATCAGCCCACGTATCCATAATTCGCAAAAATAAAAAAAATTCGGATACTCCGAGGATACGTATCCTGGGCGTATCGGACACGTATCTGTATCCGATACGTATCTGATACGCGATACGCGGCTTCCTGGACGTATCCGTGTAACATAGGCCGCCGCCATGGCAGCAGACGGAGAGGAGATGCGGCCTGCTATCGACGTCGGCGCCATCGTAGATGACCCAGCCCTCCGCCATGCTGAGCCTTTTGCAGCGGACGGCGAGGAGCAGCGTCCCCGTGGCGTCCAACAAGATATTGATCTAGAACCTAGCAGGTGAGTTGGCGAGGCATCATAAACTAGCAACAGTAAAGCTCCTATCAGGGAGTCCGTCCATCCGAATGGGACGACGGACCCACCTCGCGCTGCGCGCCCTACGCCTTGCACCGGACCTGCCTCGCTCCATGCGCCCCATGCCTCGCGTCTCGCATGGTCACACCGCACCTGCCTCGCGCCGCACGCTGTCCGCGCCCCATGCCTCGCGCCGGCTGCGCCTCACGCTGCGCTCCCCCGCGCTGCGTCAACCAGCCTCCATTAGGCGGCAACAAGTAGGAGCACATGTTGCAACCGTAAGTTTCATGCGTTTTAGATATATGTTGCATATGTTTTATATGGATGCTGCAAAAGTAGATTTGGTATTGCATATGTTACAGTGGCTATATGCGTATGTTTTAAGTGTATGTTTCAAATGTTGTAGCTGTTTCAAACATATGTTGTAAGTGTTTTATCTGAATGTTGCATATGTTGCAGTGGCTATACATGTATGTTGCAAATGTATGTTCCAAATGTTTCATCTGTTTAAGACCTATGTTGCAAGTGTTTCATCTAGATATTGCATATGTTGCAATGTTGCATATGTTTTTGACATATGTATCAAGCGTCTATTCAAAATGTTTCATATGCTTTAGACGTATGTTGTAAGTGTGTTTATCTAGATGTTACAGTTGCTATATACATATGTTGCAAACGTATGTTTGTAAATGTTTCACCTGTTTCAGATGTATGTTGTAGAAATACTTCATGTTGCAACATTAGCACGCGTAGAAAGTCCCCGCGGACGTAGCGGTCCCAACGTGTGCGGGAAGTGAAGCGGGCATGGGTGGTACCCACCTGTATGTGCATCAACAGGCATGTGGCACGCTGCATGCGTACGTGCATGATGTGCAGGCGCAGCAGTTGCATACAATATGTGGGGGCGGGCCTGCAGGTGCAACAGTTGCATGTGGGGCAGGCGCCGTTCTATTTCTTCATGAGTGGAGCGCATTAATTTCAGGTTGGAACAATGCATGTGGAGGAAAAATTGCTACCACTCCTGCAGCTGCATGCAACAGAGAGGATTTTTTTTAATTTTAATACTTTTGGTAAACTAATTCTAAATCTAACACTGTTTGTTTTTTATTTCCAAATCTAACACTTTTGGCCGCGCCTATTGCCATGGTGCGGCCAAATGCCTGTGCCACGCCAAACATGATGGCGCGACAAGAGGACTGACGTGGCGACGACCGGGGCGCTGACCGGTGACGTGGCAGGGTCGGCCGCGCCACCGATCTTGACCGTGGCGCCGCCGCGTCATCCATCACGGCGCGGCAGGGAAGAACAGAGAAACGAGGTGGCAGGGGATCGACTTGAATGCTCGTGGATCGCAAGCCCGCAACACTCATCAAAACAACAGCGAGCGGCACGCCGCACGCAAGCTGCTGCGAACGACGATGGCCTATCGCTATCAGAGACGAAGACCATCGTATCACAGCTTGACCTTGACGCCACCGTACCTTTTGTATTTTTATCCATCCGCGTTTTTATCGTCAGTATGGTGAGGTCGTGGTGAGGTAATATGATGATCTTGTAGTATGTATCACGCATTCACGCGTCCAAGAATATGTAAAAGGTACATTTTTTGTGGGCGTGTAAACTTTTGACTGTAATCTTCCTTGGCGTAAACTGAAATCGGCTAGATACATCGTCAGGAACGGATACACATGAGAGCGTGGTACGGACGCCGCCGAAGGAGACCGCTCGGTTGCTTGCTCAGTTGCTCTGTGCGGCCTCGCTGACCGGCCTGAAAAGCACTCAGCAGGGTCGCGAGTTGGACTCAGGGCTCGTTTAGTTCGGCCACAGAATCGGCGCCGCCGAAATTCAGGCGGTACTGTAGCTACAGTGCCGTTTTGCTTTTATTTGGTAATAATTGTCCAATCGTTAACTAATTAGGCTTAAAACGTTCGTCTCACAAAGTACAACCAAACTGTGCAATTAGTTTTTAATTTCGTCAACATTTAGTACTCCATGCATGTACCGTAAGTTTGATGTGATGGTGAATCTTCTTTTTGCATAGTATCAAAATCTGGAATTGGGGGAACTAAACGTGGCCTCAAACTCAACCGCGTAGCAGCCTGCCTGCTGCCCATACTGATACTACCCGTACGTATGGCTGGTGGAGTCAGTGACCGATTCAAATTCAACATATATACCGGGAGCACTAGCAAGCAGCAGCAGGCTTAATTAATTTCACACAGCACACATTGTACAAATTCTAGTATTCATCGGATCAACGTCACAATAGTTCAAGAGCCAGTGATGATGATGTTTGCCGCGGCGTCACGTCACCCTCCCAAATCTTAGGCCTTGTTTAAATTCTAAGTTTTAGGGACGTTGCGTGGGGTGTTCGGATACTAATAAAAAAACATATTACAGAATCCGTCGGTAATCCGCGAGACGAATTTATTAAGCCTAATTAATCCGTTATTAGCACATGTGTTACTGTATCATGAACGAATTAGGCTTAAAAGATTCGTCTCGTAAATTAATCACAAATTGTGTAATTACAAGACATGTTGGCATTTCTAAAGCTTCACATACTCCCTCCATTCCAAATTACAAGACATGTTGGCATTAGATACATAGATTTTGCTATATATCTAGATATATATTTATGTCTAGATACATAGTAAAATCAATGTATCTAGAAAAGCCAAAACATCTTATAATTTGAAATAGAGGGAGTATGTGAAGTTTCTCTTAGGTATCGCAAAGTGTGGCATCAAATTTTGTAGCTAAATTTTGTGGCTTGACACATTTGCCTAAAATTAGTTTGTGGCATGGTTGGGAATCAAACAAACCTTGGTTAGTGCCTTTGTTGTTAAGTAAGTATCAAATAGGCAAGTCAAAGTTTTGCGAACTTGTTCTCTTTCTTGCAAGGAAGAAAGCTGTTAACTGCAATGTTATAAATTATTGATATTAAAAAAGCTTA